ACCGCACTCAGCCAGTGAGTGCACCAGCCATCCCTATATAGGATCCGAACCTACGGCCTCGGCGCTCCCGCGCCACTGTGCTCCCAGTGCCGCACTCTCCTGAGTGAGCCACAGGGTCGGCCTAATATGTTGTTGTTTTAAGTCACTGAGTTTGTAGTCTTTCCTTACACAGGTAACCGGAAAGCTTGGAATACTGTATGATATATATATAAACAGACCTTGGGATCTTAGGGTTTTAAAATAGTTGTAATAATGCCTAATGTTTTGAACATGTATCTTGTGGCAGACACTGTTCCAAGTCAAAGTGCATTATCTCATTTAAAGAGTTTTAGTGACTTGGGCAAGTGTACACAATTGATAAGTGGTAGAGCCAGGGTTTGAAACTACCTTGGCATTGGAGCTTGCACCTTTGCTTACATTTGCTGACTTCCTGATGGAACTATGGGAAACTGGAATCAAAGACCTAGGAAAGTTCAGCATCCCAGGGTGTTGCACTCACTGCATCTTGGATCTCAGGACTTCAGGATCACAGAATTTCTGCTCCTTGAGATTCTGACCCCTGGGTCTGCTACAGGAACACCCTACTGAGCATCTATAATGGAAGTGGGGGCACTGAGGCCCTGGGAAAGTCCAAGGCCCTCAGTGGCCCAGCAGTTCTGCCTGCCTGGTCCATGAGTCATCCCTTGGTCCTCTTTGCCCTCTTGCCTTTCAGTGGCCCTCCTGGCTTTCTCTCCCTTCTAGAGTGTGGGGGACAGAGTTGGAAGAGCCTTAAAGAGTTGTCTGAGGTATGACAGAATTTCTTCTCTAGCCTTTCCAATATTTCTTCCTGGATCGGAAGCTCTCACTACCTTCCCCAAATAGCCTATTTCATTATTAGAAATGCTTCCTTTAAGTGCCCTGAACTCTGCCTCTCTGTATCTTAAGGTTGTAGGATCTGATTTCCACTCTTAGCTAGGAGTCCCCTTTGCATCATTTCTGGCAGGTGGACATCCAGCTTGGACACCTCCTCCCATCCGTAATGGGGAGGTCAGTGCCCCTGACATTTCATCTCCACACCTGGAGGCCCATCCATTGCCCAGGCCTCTAGTTCCTTGATTGATGTCCTCTCCTGTAGTCATTCTGTTCTCCACCCTCCTCGGTCACCTGCCCCCATGGCTACTCCCTTGATTCGGTCATCGTCAGTGTCTGTCCCACCTTCAAAATTACAACCTTATCCACCCCACTCTGTGAGGACTCTATTCTTCCAGCTCATTTGCTCTGATTACCACCCCTCCCCTTGCAACAGTCCTATCTCATTGAGTCCACTAATCTGGTGACCCTGCCACTTTCTCAGTATTTGTCACCTCCCTCCTCTCTTCACTTACTTCTTTACCCAGCTCAGATGCACTTTCTTGCAAAACCACTCAGCTCCTCAGCCCCTTTCCCTCAGCCAGATTTGCTTGGCAAAACCTCACTGCCATCCCACCCCCACCCTGTGTGCCTGCACCTGAGCCGCTGACCTCCAAAGGGCACTTTGCAGCCAGATCATTCTTTCGGTGCCACCAGATGGACCTGCCCCAGCTGCTAGGCAGGTTCCTTCTAGACATAGTTCTGAGCCCCTGGCTGCCTGTGTTGGGTGGGATCTATGGTGTGGGTGTCCAGGGAGGAGAAGGGTGGTTTTGCACTCATCCTGGGAGTCTAGGTCATGCTGCCTTCGTCTCTATCTTCACTTTGGGATTCCATGGCACAAGGGAACAGGGTAGGGTGCCCCACCTCTTTCATCGCATGCACACCCCTTCTGCTCCCTACCTGAACAGCACCACTCCCCCGCCCCAGGCCTTACCTGCCTACAGCAAAGACAGTCAGTCCAATGGTGAGGTTCTGCTTTCCAGCTTCTTGCTGGGCCATATCTGGGTTGAAGGTGCCATCCCAAATAATGGGGGCCCCCCAGGAGGTACAGGTCAGGACTTCAGGCCGGGCCCTGGCCAGGGCAGGGATGGGGAGACAGCTCCATTCATCCACCTACTTGCTGCTTGCTCACTGCCACCTCCCCAGGTCTGGGCCCTAGGGACCCACAAGTGTATCTGATTCTGTCTCTGCTCCTAGAAGCCTCTAACTCAGAACCAACACAGACAGAGGACTGGGAGATGTGTGGCCCCATGGGGCTGCTAGGGTTGGTAGGTGGAGCCGCTAACCCTGCTGGGGTGGGGGATGTGAGGAGGGCAGGGACATGGGGCAGAGTTCTGTAGGGTTTATGAGTGCTCTCAGCATGGAAGGGATGGTAGCTCCTTACCAGGGAAGCAGGACACCCGTGAAGTTGTCTCTCAGGGGCATTGTGGCCGAAGAGCAGACGCCCATAGGGATGAGGACTTCCAGGTGCCTGTGGGGTGGGGGCAGCAGTGAGGTGCATGTCAGCCTGCTCGGGAGCCCTCTTGCTTTACTCCTTACAAGGAGGGAGAACCCACAGGGACACTTGTCCAGGCTGAGCTAGCCACCACCCACCATCCCTCGAGGAGGTACTTGGAAAGATCCTCTTTAACCCTGACCCTGGGGTTCCACCTCAAGTGCTGGAGAAGGGGCTTGTACCTGACTATAGGGATCCCATACAGGAGCAGGTACAAGAGGCCAAGTGCAAGAAGGATCAGCTGCCAGAAGGTTCTCTTCCAGGCCCTGGGGGGGAGGGGCATCAGTAATGCATTTATATACACACGTATACCTACACACTTATATGAAAATTTATTTGTGTAATTTTAATATTGTTGTTGTTTTGGATATGAATGTTCCATTCACATGGTACAGACATTCAAAGGGATCGAAGAGTGTATACAGTAAAAGTCTCTATTTGCAGCCACGCAGTGTTACATGTTTCTTGTGTGTCCTTCCAGAGAGTCTTTTCATATACAGGCAAATATTAATATGGTAGCAAATACTCTCCCTTTCATTCCCCCCCAACACACATGATAGCACAGTGGACATGCTATTCTGCACCTTGCATTTTCTTTTTTTTTTAAAAGATGACCGGTAAGGGGATCTTAACCCTTGACTTGGTGTTGTCAGCACCACGCTCACCCAGTGAGCGAACCGGCCATCCCTATATGGGATCCGAACCCATGGCCTTGGTGTTATCAGCACCGCACTCTACCGAGTGAGCCAAGGGATCGAAGAGTGTATACAGTAAAAGTCTCTATTTGCAGCCACGCAGTGTTACATGTTTCTTGTGTGTCCTTCCAGAGAGTCTTTTCATATACAGGCAAATATTAATATGGTAGCAAATACTCTCCCTTTCATTCCCCCCCAACACACATGATAGCACAGTGGACATGCTATTCTGCACCTTGCATTTTCTTTTTTTTTTAAAAGATGACCGGTAAGGGGATCTTAACCCTTGACTTGGTGTTGTCAGCACCACGCTCACCCAGTGAGCGAACCGGCCATCCCTATATGGGATCCGAACCCGGGGCCTTGGTGTTATCAGCACCGCACTCTCCCGAGTGAGCCACCGGGCCGGCCCTGCACCTTGCATTTTCACTGACCATTATCTCTCTGAGATTATTCCATTTCAGTATTTAAGAACTTCCTCACCCTTTTGTCCAGCTGCCTACTATGCAATTGGTTGGAGATAGCATAACTTACCTAACCAGGCCCCTGCTGATGAGCATTTAGGTGTCTAATTCTTTGCTATCCCCAGCAGTGCTTTGGGGCATGAACTTGGGGAGGGCTGGGGGATGATAGCATTAGGGGTTGGGGTGCTTAGCCTGGGTGGGATGACCTTGGACAGGAAGAGAAGCTGGGAAAGGATGCAGGGGAGCTTGAGGCTTGGTGGCTGGGAGTTAAGAGCTAAGACTTAGAGATAAGTTGCTGGGCTGTCTGTGGTCAGAGAACACATGTCTGTGACAGCTTCTGTCACCAGGTGGGGCAAGTTCCTCCAGCAGAGTTCAATAGCCCCATTTCTGATGCAGAGGAAGTGGGCTTTGGGATTTGTCCAGGATAGCTGTTTCTTGGAAGGGCCCCAAATGTTGAGAATCATTATAAGCTCCTCCTGAGGAGCTCATCCTATTCTCCCCTCTGCTGCTGTGTGCTCATGCCTCTAGAGAGACTGAAACCATATGGCGAGGAGCACAGACACTGGGGCCAGATCCCCAGGTTTGACTTCCAGCTCCACTACTTATTAGGTGTCTGACCTTGGGCAAAGAAGATCTGGCCCTCTGTATGTCAGTCTTCTCATCTATAAAATGGGGATAATAAGAATACCTGCCTCAGAGGGCTGTTGTGGACATTGAGTTAACACAAGCTAAGTGCTTAGAACATGGCCTCACTCACTAAACTTTAGCTACTGATATGATGATTATCCTTCTTCCTGAACAGACCCTCATCATGCCCTGGGCAACTTCCCAGCTCCACTCCCTGCCCTACAAATCCTTCCAAAGTCTGGTTCCCCGTGGTCTCTTTTAAGAAGCCTGACTGGATCAGACCCTCCTGCCTCTGCCTTTTCTGCTCCCGCACTTAACTGTTCCTCAGCAAGTGTATCTATTAAATAGCTCTGAGAAACACTTTGCAGTTGTTTGTGTGTGAATATATCTACCTGGGCACCATTTCAGCACAGAGCACCTCCTTCTGTTCAGCTGGCCAAGCCAGAAACCTGGGTGCACCCTGACTCCTCTCTGGCATCTGCTGTCGGTCCGCAGGTTGGGTTGGCTTGGCCTCCTTGATCTCTGCCCCATGGTCCCCACGGTGCTCCTGGCCCGCTCATCCATCACCAGGACTGCTGCAGCAGCTCCCTTCCTACTTCCAGTGACTCCCTACACAGCCCCCAGAGTCATCTCGTAAAAAATCAACCTGCCTCAAGTTTCCATGTCACACGAACAAGTAAATTCTTTTTTTTTTGGCCTTTTTTGTGACCGTGCTCAGCCAGTGAGCGCACCAGCCATCCCTATATAGGATCCAAACCCATGGCGGGAGCGCCGCTGCGCTCCCAGCACCGCACTCTCCCGAGTGAGCCACGGGGTTGGCCCCGAACAAGTAAATTCTAAAAGAAGAAATGCAAACATATGGAAAAATGTTCACCCTCACCAGTAATCAAAGACATACAAATTAGAGCAAGGTGGTATGTTTTGCCTATAAAATGAGCACTTTAAAAAAAAGACATAATGAAAATAGCCATGCTGCAAGAATACACCGAGATAGGCACTCTTGTGCTTGCTGGTATGAGTGTAAATTGCCACACTCTCTTGAAAGCTATTTAGCTATGGGAATGGAAGGCTTTCAGTATTTATCCCCTTTGATTCAATAACCCCAGCTTCTGGGAACCTGTTCAAAGGAGATAATCCTCAGTATGGAAAAAGTCTGTACATCAAGATGGTGACTGGTTTCTGTTCAGTCATGCATTCAGCATATGTTTATTGGGCACAAGCTCAGCATCAAGCACTGTGCTAGATCAAGGATTTAGATGTGAATGAGACACAGACCCTGTCAGGGTGTGGAGTCAGGAAGATGGGGTGGGGTGGGATCAGGGGAGGGGAGTGAGGGAATGGGTCACATAACAGACTGGAAACAGATGAAGGGAACACAGCACAGTGAATACTGTGATTAGGATAAATACAAGATGTTATGAGGGCAAATTAGAGGGTGGCACCTAAGCCTTGGCAGATGAGGAGGAAGTCAGGAGGCTTCCTGGAGGAGGTGACCTCTAAGTTAGGACCTGAAGAGTTAGAAGTTATCCAGGCAGAGAAGGCAGTAGAGGCGGAAGGGAGGTCCGAGGTCCATGAAAAGAAAACAACACTGTGCCAAAGTGAGGAGGTGAGTGAAAGCCTGGAATACAAATGGAACTGCAAGTTGTTCCACAGCGGTGGAGTGTGGAATGCAGATGGGGAGTGGTGAGAGATCAGGCTGAGAGGTCACCCAGGGCCCGCATTCCAGGCTTAGGGTTTTGCATTTCATCTTGAAGGCCAAGTATTTCCTCCAGGGAGTGACACAGTCAGATTTTTATTTGGAAAAAAAAAAAATACTCCAACTGAACTGTTGAGCCTGGATATAGTTGGGTGGGAAGGAGGGAGTAGCTGGAGGCAGGAAGACGAGTGAGGGGCCAGGTGCCAGCCTGTGGGAGCTACTGGGGGCATGAACCAGAGCGTAGGCAGCTGTCTGGGGAGGAGTAAGAGGTGAAGGACTGTCAAGAGGTGGAATGGGCAGGACTTGACCTTGATTAGAGGGACAGGGCTGGGAGACTGGAAAAGAAGATGCTTGATTGGTTGGAGGTAGGGGCTGGAGCCCACAAGGCAGGCAGGCTCAGGAGAGAGTTTTGGGATTCTCCCGGAGGGAAGGATGTCATGGGAGAGAGGGAGAGAGCACAGAGGGAGAGGAGGCTGGGCCTGGGCCAGGTGGCAATGGGAGGGAGACTGAGCGGGTAGTTAAGTGGGAGGTGCAGGGGTTAAGGCAGAGGCCGGGGGTGGTGGCGGCGGGAGTGGACTCTATCCAGAAGTTTCCAGAAGTAAGGAGAAAAGAGACAGATGGCAACTGGAGCGGGTCAAGGGGTGGGATTGATGGAGGTGTTTGTTTCTTTTACATAAGGGAGACTTGAGCTTGGTTGAATGCTGCTTGGAAAGTGTCTGTGGAGAAGATGTTTGAAGTCACAGGAAAGGACTTTATCTGAGCCACTCAGATATAACTGAAAAAGGCTTTAGTGTCCAGCTGAAGGACTGATGAAATAAACCTTGTTATGAAGACTCTGCAATCACAAGGAAAAATGCTTATGCAGGAAGGTTAAAGGAAAAAAGCAAGACCTGAAATTGATACGCACTATGATTACAATTTAGCAATAATAAAAACATGCACCAGAAAATGACTAAGAGGAAAAACTCAAGAGTTTGTGCAATAAGATTATAGTAGGATTTTTTCCTTTTGTTTTTTCTCCCCAATTGTCTGTAACATAATTATATTGCCTTTGCTAGTGAAGGAAAAATACAGTTAGCAATTTGCAAAAAAACCCAAGTTGTGTTAGGCTTCCTGCAGACTGCAGGATAAAGCCCACTTCTCTTAGCCATGTCCAAGAAGCCTTCAGAATCTTGCTCCTCCACTGTACTATCGTCAGAGCTTACACACCCTGACGCAGGTTTCCTGCCTCTAGGAATGGAGGCTGCACATTGAGCAGTCTAAGAATGTTCTTGCAGCATTGTTTGAAAAAGCAAATGGATGTACACAATTTCAGTGTTCATCAGTAGGGAATTGGATGAATGCATTATGCACATTGATACAACATAGCTGTTATAAAAAGGATGAGGTAGATATATATGTACTCCCTGAAAAAGATCCTAATGTATTAAGGGGGAAAAGGGAATAACAAGTAATATGTAGAGGCAGATTTCACTTCTGTGAGGGAAGCTCCTATACCTGTGTATCCATGTGTTTACAATCACGTGTATTGATGTTGTTTTATAATGCGTAGGAAAAGATCTTAGAACAGCATCGTCCAATAGAAATATGATGTGAGCCACATATGTAATTAAAAATATTCTAGTGGCCACATTTAAAAAGTAAAAAGAAACAGGTATAAACTCATTTTAACAATATTTTTATTTAACCCAGCATATCCAAAATGTTATTTCAACATGGAATCAATATAAAAATTATTGAGATATTTCCCATTCTTGTTTTATACTAAGTCTAAATACTAAATCAAATGTGTATATTAGACTTACAGTACATTTCAACTGGAACTAGCCACATTTCGAGTGCTCAGTAGCCACATTTGGCTATCATATTGGACAGTGTGGATTTTGAGGGAGACACACCAGACAGCTAGTGATAGGCTGAGATTGGAGGAGGAGGGGACTCCAACGTTTTGCTCAATACACTTGTACAATGTTTGACTTTATGTAATGAGCATTTATTATTTCATTGTCTATATAACTTTTTTTTTTTTTAAAGATGACTGGTAAGGGGATCTTAACCCTTGACTTGGTGTTGTCAGCACCACACTCTCCCAAGTGAGCTAACCAGCCATCCCTATATAGGGATCTGAACCCATGCCCCTGGTGTTATCAGCACCTCACTCTCCCAAGTGAGCCACAGGCCAGCCCTTTTAATTTTTATTCTAATATATAGCACCTTATATTCATAATTGTCTTTATTTCTTGGATCAGCCTCATGAAAAAGGAGTATGGTTTCTCTTTTACAGTTGAGGTGCTGAGAGGCCCAGAGATGGAGGGAATTGCTCCAAATCACAGCTAGGAAGTGCCAGACCCCCCCCCCCCTTTGAATCCTCAAGTCTTATGTTCTTCCATTACACTGGGAAGAGGTTTTTACATTTTTAAAGGGTTGAAGAAAGGAGAAAGAGGAGGCAAAGAATATGAAACAGAGACCTTATGTGACCTGCAAACCTAAAATATTTCCTATACCTTTTACAGAAAAAGTTTGCCAACCTTTGCATTACACCATTTTTTTTTTTTTTAACTTCTCATTTTCTCTGCCTGGGAAGTGGGGCTTTTAATTTTTTTTTTAACAAATGCAGAAAGATATATGTTAAAGTCACATAGGGTGTAGATTGGGAGAAGAAGCCAGGATGGGAGGGACACTAAAGGGACTGTGTTGGTTAAACAGACCCCATTTCTTGAGAGACCACCAGCTCCTGGAGAAAAGACTGGGTGAAGAAGCTTAACAGGGATCTGAACCTGTGGCCTTGGTGTCATCAGCACCACATGCTCCCAAGTGAGCCACGGGCAATAGGGATCTGAACCTGTGGCCTTGGTGTCATCAGCACCACATGCTCCCAAGTGAGCCAACCGGCCATCCCTTAACAGGGATCTGAACCTGTGGCCTTGGTGTCATCAGCACCACATGCTCCCAAGTGAGCCACGGGCCAGCCCTATATAACTTTTTTAGGTACATTTGTATAACTTTACCTATCTATATAACTTTTTATCATGCCATACTCCCAACTTCCTCTTATGTTCTGGTCACCTCCATCTGACTTCACTTCCTGGAGCCTCTCATGGGACAGATCTGGGCATCAAGGTTACAGTGACAGAGGGCACCTGCAGGCATTGGTGGCCACCTGACCTCTCTATTTGAGTGTTTCACCAGAACCTCAAAGTTATATGGTCACAAAGGAGCTCTTGGTTTTCCTGGGAAACCTGCTCCCCACGTTTGTCTTCTCCATCTTGGTGAATGACATCACATTGACCTCTGTACCCCATTTCTCAAGCTGGATGTCCAGGAGTCCTCTTTGGTCCCTCCTCTCTCTCATTCTCCACATTCAGTCCACCAGCAAACTGTGGGGCTCTTGCCATCACTTCCTCTCATGCTGCTCCTGGCCATTGTGCCTCCCACCTGGATAACCTTCCTAGCCCCTCACCAACCTCCCAGCTTCTACTCTTGCTCACTACAATTCATTCTCCACAACGAGTTTTCAAAAGCATACATGAGAATATGCCTCTCCCCTCTTCAAGGTCTTCCAGTGACTTCTCACTGCTCTTAAAATAAAATCTACATCCCTGGTCTAACAAGTTCTGTGGCTTCCGCCCCTGCTGACCTCTCCTATGTCACCCTGCCCAGGCTTACAGCTCACTTTTGCATGGTTTGTCATTCTTGACATTCAGATCTCAGTTACAGTTCTCTGGGGATCCTCTTTCACTACTTGGCTTCTCTCTACCAGTGACTCCAGCCCAGCCCTCTTGCTGAGCACTGGCCTCAGGTATCATTTGTTCCCTGGACAGCTGTGTCCACCTGGGCATCCCACTGACACCACAAACTCAGTGCTTCTCAAGCTGCAGTTTGCATTTCCCCTGATCTCTTCATCCTTCTGTGTTCTCAGTGACTGGCCCCAGTGACCCAAGTGGGACCCTTTCTCCCCCCACCCCCTGACAGCACTCAGTCACCAAATTCTATGCTTCTACCTCTGTCCTGGTGCCCAAAGCTCCCTGCTGTCCACCCCCACTGTTCTATTCATGTGTCATTGGATTCCAGTAACAATCTTCGAACCTGCCTCCTAGTCTCCAGCATTCACCCTGCACCATGATTTTTCCTAAGTTTGCCACGACTTTGTGTCCTCCCCACCTTCATATGTTTGCCAGATTGCTCCTTTCCATCTTATCAACAAGCTCCAAATAATTCCTTAAGACTCGGCTTCCTCCTTTGTGAAGCCTTCCTCTACCCCATCTCCAATGCCCCTCCCCCAACAAGCTCCTCTGTACCTTTTCCTTTAGCACTTTCCAAACTGTACCAGGCGATTGTCTGCCCCACTAGGCTGTGAGTTTCTCTTCTTTATTAGACTTTATAGTCTTTGTGCCAAATTTCAGAACCTGACTCATAATTTGTGGTATTAATAATTATTTGTTTAGTGAATGAGTGAAGCTATGAATGGGTTCTTTTGTCTTCATTCTCTTTCCCAAACTGTTATGCCTTCACTTAAAACTCCATTTTCTTCAGGATTAAGCCTGGACTCTTTATTAATAGCCCCAGACACTTACTGAGCTGGACACCCTGCTAAGTGTTTTTTATGCCTGTCTTATTGAGGTGTGACCACAACCCCTTGAAGATGCTGAGATTATCTCTACTTTATAAAAGAGTAAATTGAGGCTCAGAAAAGTGAAATCACTTGCTCAGGGTCACAAGGCTGCTGAAAGTTAAGTGGTGGGGCTGAGCTTTGAACTTAGGGGTGTCTGACTTCCAAGCCAGAACTTCTAGCATGGCATTTGGGCTCTTTATGACCTGGCCCCAGCTCAGCCCAGAGGCTTCTCTTATCAAGGGTCCCCAGCTGTTATTTTTCCCCATATGCTTGGCTCCTCCCAAGTCACCTCATGTTTCCAGGCAGCATCTCTCCTGCAAGAAGCCAACCCCCCTCTCCACTCTGTCTTCATCTCTTCTCTGAGTTCCTGGAGAGCTGGCTGCAGCTGGGCTTTTTCCAGCCCCTGGAAGCCTGGTCAAAACTGGTGCTGGCAACTCGCAAGAATGCCTCAGGAGGTGCACTATGGGGGATACTTGCCATGCTGAAGGGGCAGGGAAAGGTTGGAGCAGGCCTTTCTCTGCCCTTAGTGGCTGTCCCTACTCTCTATCAGTCCCCTCCCAACCAGGGTAGGGTGAGCTGATACTTATCTTGGGCACTGGGCCAGGGCAGCCAAGCTGAGCTGGCCTTGAGTGGCCCAGGTGAGCTCAAACAGTCAGGTCTGGGAGGGTGCTGAGACAAAGGCCTGGGGTGGGGACCCACCAGCTCCTCCTGCCTCCTCCCATGCCCTAGCCTGGGATCCCTTAGGCAACAGAGACTCCTGCCTGAACCACTCCTCCACATTCCTTGGTCAGATATTTTTAGGAGGACCCGGTCCACCCCACCTCCACCTACAGATGGTCTCTCAAGCCCCACGCTGTGCTCTGCTCCCCACTCTCCTTGCTTTCAAGAAAGGCTAAAGATCAGTTAGTTGCTAGTTCTTAAGAAGGAACATTTACAGTGCTGGACAATCAGCCCCAGCAAGGATAGGGATAGCTCTCAGTTACATGGGGAACTTACCCTCCGAGCCTTTGCTTTCTGGCTCACCAAGGGGGTTCAGAGTTCAGAGAAGCAAGAGGAGTCCAACTTTTCACTGGCTACGAGACCTGCAGTCTTCCTCCACCCCACCGTCCCCACGCATGGACTGTCTCTCTACTCACTGTGCAATGTCCCCTCTTGGAGTCACCTTTTCCCAGGACCTATGGCTTAGCTGGTACTCAGTGGGCTAGCTTTGGTGCTTCCCATTTGGACTGTTTTGGGGGAAGACTGGACCCTTCTTAGGTCAGTTGTCCCCATGCCTTCTTCCTCCCCACACCGGCAGCATCTGCACTCACCTGAGTCCCTCCTTGACAACCATATTTAGAAGCTGGTAGGACAGCATGCAGCGAACTCATTCAGCTCAGAGCCAGGGAAGAAATGACCTTTTCTTCCTGGAGGCTGACAAAGCAGCTTCCTGCCCCTCTGACTCAGGAACCACACCCACAGAAGCAGTCAGAGATGGTTTGACCCACGAAGAAACTGCTTGGGGTGGAGCCTACTGGAGGAAGTTGGTCCCAGGGTTGGGTGGGGGCTGGCAACCATTTTGGGGCCAATCACCTTGAAGAGGGATTTGAGCAGTCAGCCTCTGGTTTGCCTGAGGCTATTTTGTACAGACTCCTCTTCCCTCCCCAGGGGGTCCTGGAGCCACTCCTTCAGTGTCTTTCTGCTCTAGGGAATGGCTGGGCATTGGGGTATGGTGTTTGCCACCCTGGGCAATCCCTGTTGTGCAGAGTCCCAGCCACATCTGAAGGGCACTGGGTACTTGATTGTCACCTTGGACAATTCAGCTCATGGTGCCCTTTACTTCCTTAGTAAAATAGGATACATACACCAGTCACCCAGGAGGCTGAAAACCAAGTAAGATCATGGATGTGGAACAGTTCTGTAATGTGTACCCTGGGCAGTGTTTTTTTTAAAGTGGGAACTATGACCCATCAGAGGGCCAGGAAATCAGTTTAGTGGATCGTGACCAAGATTTAAAAAGTATGAACAGGAAGAGAACTGAAAATAAAATATCGGAATGTATTGTATGTATAAGGGTAGGTATTGTTTAATGAGATTTTTGTTTCAGTTAAAATATACTTAAGTGTATATATGAGGTTGGGAAATGTTTTTAAACTGGGTCGTGATCAAAAAGGGTTTGTGAAATTCTGCATAAAGTGTAAACAACAGGAGCAAATATATATTTAAGGACTCACCCTTCAAACTTTCACCTAAAGTAAAGAAATAACATGAATGCTTATTGGTGTAAGTCAAATTCACCATATCCTCTTTTAGGAGTCGTTTTGGTTCCCTCCCCCTTCACCACACTCAAGAAACCAAACTCTGGTGGGGCCTAGTTTTCATTTTCTTCCATAAAGGGAAATCACGGCCCAGAAAGTGAAGAGCCCTGCCCACAGTGCTGGAGGCTGACGGTGCTCCTGCACACATGGCTGCATTCCTCAGCCCAGGGGGAAGGCGGCAGCACATGGGGCCCCCTCACTTGGGGGTCCCCAGGACTCACTCCCACGTGGGCACCCTCCCCCTTCTCTGTCATTCAGGATCCTGCCTCCAGCCCCTGGTTCCTTCCACCTTCTGGGGATCAACTTTTTTTCTCTTCCTTCTCCAAATATGTTACATTTTAACAGGCTCTCCAGAGAGGAGTTATCAAGGTATGGACATAAGTTCTCAAGTTATTGTGCTTAATCTTCCCTTAGACATTCTGATTCAGTAGGTTAGGGCTGGGGCCTCAAAACCCACATTCTCATCAGGTAGAAACAGTGCCTTTAAGAAGAACCTGGTGAAGGGAAGGAGCAGTGAAGCCAAGCTGCCTCCTTTTCCCTTTCCTGGTGACAGATGCAGGGTGGATTTCACTCCATGCAAGAGGGCCTGCGATTTTGTTCTTCACCCCACAGCCTTGTTTCTGAAAGCTCAGGCCAGGCCCACAGAGGCATGTGGTCAACACAAGTCACCGTTAGCTGCACCCACTTCATCCAGTCCAGCCAGCTCATGTCCCACTCATCTACACTGCCGCATGCACACGTACGCTTTTGTGCATACCGCTTGCATCTGGAATGCCCTTTCTCCTCCTTTATTCAGGGCTTAGGTGTCACCTCCTCCCATCTAATCATTTTCTATTTCAGCATCCAAAAAATGCTTGGGAAGTGCTTAGTGAACCAAAGCTGTCCCAAGGGCATTTCTGAGCACTTGGCAGCTCCATCCAAAGGTGTTTGTTGGAGGATGGGAGTCTGGGTTCTGTCCCAGGTGTTCCAGATGCTGTTGGCCCAACAGAGTCATGTCTCCCAAGTAGGAATGGTTGAGGGGGAGGGGGTGAGATCAGAGCTGAAGGAGCTTCTGGACCTCCAAGTGACACCCTGTGAAGAGCAGAGGTGGTATCTGCTTCTCCTATACAAACTGGGGCCAAGACCCTGCCCCAGCAAAGCATGGAGGATATGCTGTCTAGTTAAGGCCCCTCCCCCAACCCAGGGACCCATCCCTCTTCTTATGGGTGAAAAGTAGCCATTTGGGTTCAGAGACAGGCATCCCTAGGAGGAGAAAGGCACAGAAGAGACAGATTTTACAGATTTATTTTTAAAAAACAAAAAAAGGTTAAAAAAAGTCCTTCATTTCCAACCCTGCCTGGGGGTGTGGGTAGGGAATAGAACAAGCTGAGAAAGCTGCCCATCCCCTTCCTGCAAGGGATACCCCCAGGAGTCTGCAAAGGACAGGGCAAGTCAGAGGCAGGCCCTCGCCCTTTCTGCCCTGCCTCCTCCTCAGGTAGCTCAAATTGCTGCTAGGAAGTTTTATAGGCAAAAAAGTATGGGAGTGGGAAGTCAAAGGCTGTCTTCTTCACACAACAGTAACTTCAGCTGTTCTCTCCCCTTAGAAGATCTCCGGGCCCCCAGCACTAGGGCTCCCACAGTGAGCAGGCGGGCAGGCAGACCAGGAAGCCCAACCCGGCTCAACTCTCTGGGCTATGTGGCCCAGCCCACCGGAGCTTCCTTAGTGCTGTTTGTGAGATAGCGGGGCAGTCAGGGGAACTTCACAGTGTGGGAAGGGGGTGTCAGAGACATCTCGACAAGTCTGGAAAGGAAAATCTCCTATCTTCATCTCTTTCTGATCTTGCCTCTCTGTACTGAAGCTGCCCTTCTTCTCTATTCCCCATCCTGAGGCTGAGTGGAGTCCAGGACAAAGCACTAAGTGGCTGTTTGCTACAAAACACCTGGAAATGCCAGAGGGTGGCTCTTGGCCTATCTGTCAGTCCAGGCTCCCACACAGTCATACAGTCATACACACAGCGTTAAGGCGTCTGTGCCAGCAGGCATGGCCAAACTGGGCCCAGCTTCTCTCTCTCCACCTGCAGAAAGTGTAGCGGGGAGAACCCCCAGCTGCTGCAGAAATAGAATGAAGGGGGAGAAGCTGGCAACGGAAGAGTTAACCAGGCCTGGAGAAAGAAATGGGAGGAAGGAAGGCAAGGGCTTACAAGGCCTCTATCCAGGCCTGCTGGCTGCCCTTGGAAGTAACCCAACTCAGGTTGGGGAGCCCTGACCATATCCCCCTGGAAAATGGGGGGACAGAGAGAGGGGAAGAGATTGGGGCTAAAGTATTGGGACTTTGGAGGAAGCCAGTGCTATCAATATTTACAAGCATAAAGCCCCATCTTCTGTGCCACCTACCTCTCTGCCCCTCCCACAGAAATGAAAGGCCCCTGAGAGCCATTGAGGAGGTGCCCAGACCTCCTCGCCAGCCATGCCCCTAGGAAGAGCCCCTTCTCTCCGACTGGCCCCATTTCTGGGCCCCTCAGGAATGTCTGTCTGGCTCTGCTCAGTTGGGAGGAGGAGCCCTGGGCCAGAACCTTGGCTTCCCCAGCCAGCCCTAGGAGTCCTTGAGCATGCTGATGCGAGCATAGATCTTCAGAGCGGGCCCCAGCTTGATGTTCATGGCACTCATCAGGTGGTCCTCCTTGAGCAGCAGCAGAGCTTGCCCATCGATTTCCTGGGCACGGAATTCCTCTGCTATCTCCTGGCAGCCTGAGGGGGATACCACCAAAGATAGCATCAGTTAGAGCTGCCAGCATTTACTTTCGGCAACCACTGCACCTTAGATACACTGTCTCTTTTAATCCTCAACCATACCTTGAGGAAGGTATTGCTATTCTTATTTTGCAGCTTGAGAGAGGCTAAGTGACTTACCCAAGGTAGTCACGATCCATGCTTCCTTCTTCATGCCCTTGTTTGGGTCCCCCTCCATGAACTGATCTTACCTGGGTGACCCATAAGATGCTGTGGAAGTGACAGCATGTGATTTCCAAGGCCAGATAATGAAGGCACTGCAGCTTTCACCTTGCTCTTCTGGATAATTTATTTTGGAATAAGCCAGCCTTGGAGAACACTCAAACAGTTCTCGAGAGAGGCCCATATGGAAAGCAACTGAGGCCTCTTGCCAGCAGCCAACCCCAAGTGCCATGTGAATGAACCACCTTGGAAGTGGATCTTCAGGCTCCAGACTGCTCCAGGCTGCTCCAGGCTGCAGTTGCAGCCCTGGCTGACATCTAGACTGAGACTTCATTCATATAAGACCCCAAGTCACAACTGCCCATCTAAGCCACTCTAAATTCCTGACCCACAGGACTCTTAAGATAATCAGTGATTATTGTTTAAAGTCACTAAGTTTTGGAGTAATTTGTATCACAGCAATAGATAACTAATAACAGATTTTGGAACCTGGAAGAAGAATGCTGCCATAAAAAAACAACAATCAGGGACGACCCGTGGCTCACTTGGGAGAGTGTGGTGCTGATAACACCAAGGCCATGGGTTCAGATCCTATATAGGGATGGCTAATTAACTCACTTGGGAGAGTGTGGTGCTGATAAAACCAAGTCAAGGGTTAAGATCCCCTTACCGGCCAACTTTAAAAAAAAAAATGTGGCTTAAATAATTTGTTAAGACTTCAGAAAGACTTAAGGTGATGCCTCAAAGAACTGTTCAATCCAAAGGCTCTCTAATGAGTATGTGGGCCAGCCTCACAAATCCTCTCTATTCAATAGTAGGGCTTCTAAGAATCTTAAGAGCACTGTCCCTCAGCTTTAGAAGAAGCCCAATGTAGAGAAAGGCTTATCTTGAAGACAATTTTGGGTGTGCTTTTTATCTAATGGGATGAACTCCAACAAGACTCATAGAAGGCCCACAAAGATTTTAAGAGAATTGTATTGGCAGAAATACTGCTAGCTTAGACTGGAAGGGTCAGCAGTAATATAAAATAAAAAGCAGCAGGAAGTAGGCTGAGAAAACTACTACATTGAAAATGTAGGCTACCTGCCACAGAAGAAGAGGCAGGCTAACTCAGAGGGTGGAACTGAGTGAAAGAGAATCACTTCCAGGCTTTGAGAACTAATCAAGGAAATGCCAACATATACCCTACTAGATTTTAGAACTGGTATGGATCAGTGACTCTTGTATGCTGTTTTTTCTTTTTTTGAATGGGCATGTCTACAATGGTTATCATATGCTTACCTCACTATATATTGGGTTTGTGGAAGGGAGAGGACAACCTGTCTTTTTAGTTCTCAGGTCTTCAGATTGAGAGGAACCATACTTGCTGTAGATTGAATGCCCCTAAACTCACTGAAGCTTAATCCTCACTGTAACTGTTGACAGTGGGAAATCCTAGTATGCTAATTGAAAGGTGGGGCCTTGAAGATGCGATTAGATTGTGAGGACTATACTCTCATGAATAGATTGGTCCTTTCTTGGAATAATGGGAGTAGTTCTGGGAGGCTTTAAAAGGAGAGCATGAGGAGCCATCTCTCTCAGTGTTCTGCCATTCTGCCATGTAAGACCCCAGCATGACTGTCACCACCAATATCTTTACCAGATATGTTTCCTGGATTTTGGACTTCCCAGCCTCCACAACTATAAGCAGTAAATATTATTTCTTTATAAATTATGCAGTTCCAGGTATTGTGTTATAAGTAACAGAAATGGACTAGATACAGTACTTGAGGAACTGGATCTATGGAGCCTCACCTGTGCCTGTACCTGAGTTAGATGATAAGATTCTGGACTTCACACTGATACTATAATGGGAAGAGACTCTCAGGAACTTTGGTAGGGGGTGAGGGTATTTTGCATGAGGAAGGAACATGAATCATTGGGAGCTAGTGGTGAACTGTAGTACTCTATCTCTGAATGGCTCCCAATAATCTTTGCTTCCCAGTACTTATGCCCTTCACACAATGAGTAGGACTGACCTGTGTGACCAATAAGATATTGTGGAAGTGCCAGCATGTGACTTTTGAGGCTAGATCATAAAGGGAGTAATGGCTTCTGCCCTGCTGTCTTGTATCACTACCTGTGGGAAAAGCCTGCTGCCACTCATGTCATGAGAACACTTGCACAGCTCTCTGGAGAGGCCCATGTGGAGAGGAACTGAGGCCTCTTGCTAACAGCCAGCTCCTATTTGTGAATCATTGAGTGAGGCACATTGGAAGAGCACATTACAGCCCCAGTAAAACCTTCAGATGACCTCAGCCTTGGCCAACATCTTAATCGCAACCTCATAAGAGAGCCTGGGGCAGAAGTGCTGAGATAAGCCACTCCTGAATTCCTTAACCACAGCAATTGTGTGATAAATTTTGGGGATGTAGCAATAGATAACATATGGGTTAAGTGAAAGCCAGATTTGAATCCAGTTCTCTTTCACTCAAAAGTCTGTGCTCTTAACCACACTCTAGTCTCTGAGTAACAGGCTTGTGGTTATCAATACCTGAGGTGGTCACTGTATGGGTAAGACTGGCAGAAAAACTGGAGAGAAGCTTTTGGGTCCCACTGAAAGCATCTGTGAACGGCATAAGGTGTGCCTCTCAAGGTTCGTTTCTAGATTCTAGCTGTGCTCACAACCACGTGCGCTTCAACACACAGGGCTATGCATAGTGCCCAGATATATCATGGACTTTCATGTCTTTGTGCCTCTGCTCAAGCTGCTCCCATATGCAGTCTCTCCATCTGGCAAAGGTGTACTTGTCCACTGTCACTCAGTTTAAATTTTCTTAATTTTGATGTTCTCCTTGACAGATTTCTTACACTCTCACCTGACTCCCCTGCCAACATGCCCCAAGAGAGGGACAGGGTTAATTACATTACCATCTCTGTATTTCACACATACCACTTACCATGCCAGTAAATATACTGCATTATAGCTATGGAATATTATTTACAGTTTTCATTCTGCACTAGAATATAAGCTCTCACAGGCACGAATCTCACCTTATTCATCTCTGTACCCCAGAGTTCCTGAACCTGAGCCATTACCTGAACTACCTAATCCTTCCTGGTGGTGGGAGGTGAGGTCTTTCACTTCTCATTCCTTGCTATTTGGGCAAGCATGGAACTTCCAAGGGCCTTACCTGGCAGAGAGCGGATGAATTCATAAACATCTTCTACGTTCCATTTGGTGGGCTCACTTGGCAGGAAGTGGTGTCCCATGCCCACCAGGTCCCGCATGTGCATGTCAGGGAGCTCCAAGTCCCGCTGGCCTTGTCGCCGGCGGGAGGTGGATGAGCTGGCTGAGATGGGTGACAAGGGTTCCTCATAGCTTGAGTTATCTGAGCAACGGCTGGAGTCTTCCTGGCTGTGTGTCAGCTGCAATGCAGCAGTAACTGAAAGGGGTACAGTGCCTGTTGGCTGGGAGCAGAGAGAAACAATTTTCTTCAGGATGGGGGAAGAAACCATTTCTAGCAGCAGTGATTGGTAAAGGCAGGCACTTCTCTCTTTCCTTCGTGGTCTACTACTACACATCTGTGAATTCCTAGATCAAATAGTGTCTTCTGTGCTGCCCCTTCTTCGATCATCAGGAGAGTTAGTCCCTTCTAGTATTGTAGCGTGTACTGCGCTATACTGCAGTTATCTGAGTATAGGTCTATTTTTTCTTCTAGATGTTAGGTTTTAAATCAGGGTTCTGTGGGTTTCAGGAGGTGGTCTATGAACTACTTGAAAGAGCATGTAAAATTTCTAGTGTATTTACATTTTGGCCCACAGCTTTCATCAGATTCTTAAAGAGGTTTAAGACAAAAACAACAAGCAGAGTACATACAAGGTTATGAAACATCACGCTAGGCTGTGAGTTCCTTTAGGGCAAGACTGTCCTCAGAGCCTTAGTGCCTAACGGAGTTCCTGGCATATAGCTGTTGCTAAAAATATTTAATGAATGAATACCCATGTTCCTGGTAGAGACCTTCAAGAACTCAATGCTCTGATGTTCAAGGAGGAGAAAAGGTGGCAAGGCAAAGGGTGGAGGCTGCCTTCTCACCTAGCCCTCCATTAAGACAGGAGGCACCCTGAACAGCCTGTCCCTTCATAGAACCAGTCAGGGGAGACCCCATTTCTGTGCACAGAGATCAAGGAAGGAGGCAAACTGGAAGATGAGGAGTGAGGCGGGGCAAGGCCACTAAAGAGTAAGGTACTTCGTGGGCACCATGGGTCTAAATGAAGGAAGCTATTAAGGGACACAGGGAAGGCTTGACTGGACAGATCTGTGAGAAATGAGAATACCATGGAGCATAAAGAAGTCAGCAGCTGAAAGGGAACGTGGGTGTTTAGGGTCATGGAAGAAGGAAAGTTGGTGGGGACTTGTAGGAAAGGAGCTTCAGGCTCTCCTTCCTCTCACCTGCTTCTTGGTGTCCTTGGTAAGTGCTGGCAGACTGGCTTTGCTGGCACGACGGCGGTTGTGGGTCGTGGACCCTGCCTTCTGCAGCTTGCTCCGGTCCGAGTGGAAAAGTCCCACTCGTTTGGTGCATCCGACATTGTACCTGTCAGAGACAGAGAACAGGAAAGTCAGGGCAGTTGTGGGGCTTATGGGCCCTAGGCAGAATGAGACCAGCCCAGCTGTCTGGCAAAATTTGAGTCCATCTATTGGTTCAAACCCTAACTCCATCACTTATTATTAGCTGTGTGACTGTGGGCTATGAGCCTCAGTTTCCTTATCAGGAGTTGGAGGTAATACCACTCACTTTCTAAAACTGGTCTCACAATGACATGAGATAATGTCTACAAAATGTCTGACATGACAGCTTGGATCATGAAAACCCATGGCTGACATATCCTACTATAAATATTATCTTTGCCAGGAAACTACTGTCAGTTGTCCTGCTGGAGAGTAGCTGGGCAAAGCATGATAGAGGTGTCCTGGCTACCTCCAGCACAGCCCAAGGAGAAGCTCAGGAAGGCCGAACTCCAGCTTGGCATGCACAGCACCTCTGCCCAAGACCTGCAGCTTTCTTTTCTTCTGAGGGGTCAAGGCTTCAAGGTCAGCTGCCTCTTCTACCTTGATACAAAAACCACGTAGGTCTTTAGAGTGAGATGAGTCTAAATTCCCAGGTCTATGACTTATTAGCTATGTCACTTTAGACACAACGACTTCTCCTTTGTGTCTTAGTTTGTGGAGTATACTATAAAGCAAATATATTTCACAGGGCCTAGTTTCTTGTACTTTTAGATTTGGTCGAACTTTTTAAAAGTACATATAAAATGTTGACCTTGCAAAAAACAAGAAAATTTCCCCAGGCTAGTCTCTGTGGTAAGATGAAGAATTGCAGCACAGCAAGATTGCTGGTTCAAAGACAGACAAGTTACTGATTGATATATAAAGATACTGGGAAGCTGTGTAGGGAAAGGAATGTTTGCTAAGATCAAGCTTTTGTTGGTGGATCACTAAATTGCCTATAGAATGTCACCTTACTTGTTTTACTGAATGTTACCAGCCTATATTGTTAAACTATAACCCCACCTATGTTCTCTTCCTGTAACTTCCTGGTCTGGAGAATAAATGCAGGAAGAGAACCCCAATTCATGGTTAATTTCCCAAATGAAAGGAATGTCTCTTTCTTGAGGGTTCTGGGAGATTAACCACTTCGGGGCTTCTCACTGCTCAGAAGAGATGGGCTTTGAGTAATCCTTTGCGGCTCCGTCACCCAGGGGGAAAGGGGTGACAAATCCATTGGAGGCAAAGCAAGATTAGTTTCCTAACCTATAGAAAGGGACAACAGTAATACCTGCTTTGCAGAGTGATTTTGAAGATGAGATAACGCATATTATTATTATTATTATTATTATTTTTATTTTTTTTGTCTTTTTTCGTGTCCAGCAACGGATCGCAAGCCTCAGTGTTGCGCCCATACCGGACCGGGACCGGCAACAGGATCGCAACCCTCAGTGTCACGTCCGCACCTCGCTCAGCCAGTGAGCGGGAACCGGTCTGTATGTGGGATCTGAACCCTCAGCGGGAGCGCCGCTGCGCTCCCAAGCGGTGCACTGTAGCAGTGCACCACCGGGCCGGCGCCAGTGAGCGGGAACCGGTCTGTATGTGGGATCTGAACCCTCAGCGGGAGCGCCGCTGCGCTCCCAAGCGGTGCACTGTAGCAGTGCACCACCGGGCCGGCCCGAGATAATGCATATCAACTGAGTAGCAGAGCACTTCGCACACACAGGTTCTCAATAAATAAGTTGTTTTTATCATGATCATTAGTCTTCTAAGCTGAGTAAAAGCACGCAAAGGGAACACTGTAACTAGTGCCGTGGTTCTGGGCAAAGCTTCTGGTGAAGGGCTTACCCTAAGGAGGTGGTAGTTGCCAAGGGTAGAAAAAGAGAATGGCACCATGGGACCCAGGAGGGCCAGCCAAGTTAAAGCACTGCTTCCTTTCCTTGGACTCTGCTGCTCTCTCTCTCTGATCTGCTCAGGGTCCTGGTTTTTCATGCTCGGAGAATTAAGGACACATTGCTGCTTCCAGGCAGGTCAAGGAAATAGGAAGCTGGATAAAGCACACCGTGGCCTCCTGGGTGGACTCTTACTGGAATGAGGTAGGACAGAAGAGCAGGATGCAAAGGTGCATCCCGAGGAGGCTGAGGCCACTCACCTCTTTGCACAAGCCATGGAACAGAAGCGCTTGGAACGCTTGAACTTGTAGGCAAAGTCCACCCGGCCACAGAGCTCACATTTGAGTTTGAGGGGAGTACCCTCCTCTTTGGACTCTGCAAAGTATGGAAATGGGTGAGTGTGAAGAATTAGAAATTCCTACAGGACTGCGGCTAGCCCACTATGGAGCCTCCCTACTCTCTCCTGCTCCTCCTCATGTTCCCACAGCTATGACATGCAGCAACTGTCTAGCTTGGAAAATGTCAAATTGTTTTGGTCACTGTTTATGGAAGGGCTATGCTATTCCCCCTGGAAAGTACCCAAGGCTGTCTGGTGATGCCCTTGTTCACTTGTTCTCTTCCAAGTGCTTTGAGCCTAAGGCAAAACACAGGTGGGGAAGAATCAGTGCCCTTCTTTACAACCACAGAAGAAAGGAGGCTCATAGGAAAGACTCTGGATGCTGTCACAACTGATCTTCTGGAATTATCCCACCCTACCATGATCCATCTGGCTGGTTACTGACCTGGCAAACAGAACCCAGGAGCCTACACTCCTGCAGTCTATGTAGGTCCCAGTTAGTGGTTCACGTGGCAAGAAAGTCCTTGCCTGGCCGCTGCCTGCCTCAGAGCTGGCCCCCAGTCCCAAGTGCAGCCTCCTGAGGCAGTAAAAGGAGGCATTTCACACTCCTGTGCAATGACAAATGGTTCCCCTGATCTCTCCCATTCCTGTTTTCTAGGGATAGAGGATGAAGAGGGACTGGGCAAAATGTTCAGGAGTTGGAACTGTTTACACACTCCCTGGCTCTGAGTTCCTCCACGGACACCAAGAAAGGAAGTGTGAGAGGTCTGCCATCCCTTAAGATTCAGAGTCTGAGATGCTTACCTTGCAGATAGGGCTCCTCCATCTCTGAGTCAGTGGTGGTGGTATGATCCTGCTGTGGAAGTTTCTCAGGCAAGAACCCCTGTGCATACTTCTTCTTGAGATTCCCCACTAGCAGGGACGAGCGTCCCACCTATAGGACAGGTGACATGGAGGCTGTGAGGGTTAGGCTCCCTTGCTCTGCAGCCTCATCACAATTACATGTATAAAGTATCTAGGTGCAGATGTCAGCCCTCCTCAAACCCCCCTGCCCCCAATATTATCATCCAAGTATGTCCTGCTCAAGGCCCTATTTTGCTGTTTAGCTCATGAGGCAAGATGCCAGTGGGCACCAAGGTATAGGATGGCTTCAGGCCAGGACATACGGATGGCTCAGAAGGTTAGGAAAATATCTATTCTTCCAAGTGTCTAAGGGCACAGATGGAGGCAGAAATCAGGGTTCCCACAGCTCCAGAGAAGTGCCAAGACCCAGTGTCCACAAGTCACCAGGCAGGGACAGAGCTGAGTCTGTGTGAAAATGTGTGTGTGGAAGACACAGCACCTGTTTTTGATTTCTTACTGCTCTCCATCTTACCAATGCCCTACCCAAGCCAGAGGTGCATGCAGGTAGCCATGGAAGCTGTGGAAGGCAAATGCCCTGTGCTCCCCAGTATCCCAGACTGCCTTATTCACTCTTGTTTTTGCTTTATTCACTCTCCTGTTGCTTTTGTTCAGGCAGCCTGGTAGCCAGATCACATGGTGTCTGACCCTAGGGTGATGCTGGGGTGCTATTCAGCCTGAATCCACCCCATGAGATCAGCTGGTTTCTAGTGTTACTCTAGGACGCCAAGGGGAAGACCCAGTCTAACGAGGGAAGGGATGTAACAGGGCTGGAGCTACTTATAGCTGAGATGCTCCAGGTGATTTGCCACTGGCCTTGGACAACCTCCAGAGAGAAAGAGGATGAGAACATATTTGTTTTCTGGCATTTCAGAATGGCCGTTCACCCATCTCAGTTAATCAAGCTCAGAGTTGTCTGCTGACTAGTCAAACCACTCATGGATCCAAAGAATGAGCAAAAGGCAGATGGCATCCCAGGAAGATGTTGTATCTCTAACCGCCAGATAATTTTCACCAGGAGAGAGGCTGGTGCGCACCTGGCTCTAGGCTCCTCCACTCCTACAGAGCAGTGCCACCTGTCCTCCAATTCACACTGCACAAAAACTGCTCTGGAGGCTTTGTTTTCATAAACCACCTTCGTGATTTTTTAAATATTTCCCTTTGGTTTTATGCTTTAACTGGAGATGCTTGGTTGTGCCCTTTCTTAAGTGCCCCTCAATTTCATTCACTCCCCTTTCAAGGCTCCACTATATGAAACAAGCTTCAGGCTGTAACCCAGCTCCACCATCTTCATTTCTCATAAAGCTTGAGAACACTGTTCTATGAAGTTTCCTTTAGTTTTGTAACTGGCCAAAGTTTTGCCGTTCAGAGTTTTTTTTGGCATTCAAAACTCAACAAGGTCTAATTTCCCAAAGTCCACCATCTCTCACCAAATACCCCAAAGTGAACTCCCTTCTAACCAAGGGGGTCACATGTCACCAGGCTGGGACACAGCTGAGTCTTGTGTGTGGGAGCTTCTAACCAAGGGGTCTTCCCAATTATTTCTGATCACTGACCCCTCTAGACATTGGGAATATACTCAATTCTAGAAAGAAACAGCTCTGACATTCTTTGGGGATGGGCGGGTGGGGGAATTAGCAAGGAAAGAGCAAACTATTCACATTTTCAGAAATTTTACATGGAAATGTAAAAATATTCTAATACACATCTAAAACATACTTAAAAAAAAAAAGAGGGGAAAAGAAGTAGTCCGTACCGGGAAAGGCTCCGCCCCCTCCTGGATCACAAACCCTTCGATAACATGCGTCAGGATTTGGGGTTTCACAATGGCCTGTGGTGGTTTATTCTCACCATTCTGGGGGGCAGTGCCGGCGATGCTGGAGGCAGAGTTTCCGTTCCCTGAGGTCATGCCGGGGCTGCTGAGGTCGGTCAGTGCATGAACAATGCCCTGCCCTGTCTCTGCAGGAGGGAGAATAGGAAAACAAAGCAGAGGAGATCAGAGCAGAGTCCAGGCCCAGAGAGGGACAGCAAAGTCTCAAACTGCGCCTGGCTCTTTCCAAGGAGCCAGATGACAATGTAACAATGCAAACCAAGCAGTCACCTCCCTCAATGACTTATTTAAAAGTGGTATAGTTTCAATGGACACACGACCAAGTGTGAGAATAATCAGTTCTGCAACAATGCAGCTAATAAGCTAACAGTATTTCTTAGTCTCCCAACTGTGCTGAGAACAGTTAAACCAGGTTAAACAGACAAGAATTCTGTCTTTGAGGAGTTAAGACCTTGGTCAAGATTGATTTGGAAAAACAGATTAACATTCAGTTTAAGGAAGAATATCGACTATTCAAGGTGACATCTAAAACCAGGACGAGAAGCTGAACTATGTATAGAGCTTTGAGTGTGACGGAGTTTGGGGGAGAGAGGTCAAATGGACCTTCTATGAGGTTCCTTGGAGGAGGATTAGATTTTAAGTCCTGTGAAATGTCAAAGCACTGAACTCCAGAAATTGATGCCAAAGAAATCTAGAGGCTGAACCCCAAGTAAACACTACCACGTGGATCTGACTATTCAGAGACTAGTTATTTGGGGTCATTGCATTAAGATATGCACATATTCTATTTTCTCCACCAAGGAAACTGTTAGGCAGAGCTGAGGTTTTCTGTGCTGTTTCTGCTGGCCCAGCGCCCTCAATCAAGCCTCTGGTCCAGTTCTCAGCTCCACAGCCAGTGTCACCTCCTCCTTCCATCTCTTTGTGGACAAGCTTTCCTAAGTTCTGCTCCTCAGTGGGCCTGCTGGCCTTCCTCTAAAAGACCTAACGGAGTGCTCCAAGCGTGTGACTAGGTGCCTATGCACAACCCCACAGTGGGCCTGATCTCTTCCACCTCCACAGCAGCTCTTGGGAGTTGCCTCTCTGTCTCAGAAGTGCAAGACTTCATCACCTCACTTTTGTGACTCTCCCCGCCCACTTCCTGGGCCGGTTCTCTACCACCACCAACTGCTCAGTGAGTTGAGGTTGCCTTAACTCGGAACTTCCTAAAAAAGAAAAAAAAAAAAAAAAAGAAAGAAAAGGCCATTTCTTTATTGCAACAAGCCTAGTAAGCATAACCCATTGAAGAGGGGTTTGTGTGTGCGATAAATTTAAATTTAAATTTAAAAACGATTTCAGTACATTTACTACTTAAGAAATTTTTGTACAAAATTTTGTAGGAAGATGCTTTTATTTCATGTTAAAGATCCAAAATATCACCACAAAACAGGAATGTAGCATGGAGAAATCAAAACAGACACATTTTAGAAGATGTTTATAACTGGGTCACAACAAGTAGTGGCCCCTAGAGCTCATTTTATAACTAGTAGTCCTAATGCTTAATAAACCAGGATAAATCTTTTTTAATGAAAAAGAGTTGGCTGTAACACATATCTTTAGTACTCAGTCTTCCATAATTCAACTATATAATAAACTTCAGAGCTGAGTAGAAGTCATCCAAAAGATAGGACAGATGAGATTTAAAAATTTTTTAAATTAATTTTTGTTTGAGACAGTCACACCAGCAAGTTAGAAAAATTCCCTTAAATGTCTATATTCATTTGAAAAAAAAATTTGAAAGAGCTTTGACTCTTCTATACTGATGAAAAAATTTTCCCCTTTTGGAATTAGTATAAATTGTAAAGGTGTTTGGAGATTGGGAAAAAAAAAAAAAAACCTTTCCTTTACAATCTATGAATAACTAGGAAGACACAGTTTTTTTTTTTTCCTTTTTGTCTTTTTCCGTGTCCGGCAACGGATCGCAACCCTCAGTGTTGCCCCCGTACCGGACCGGGACCGGCTACGGGATCGCAACCCTCGGTGTTGCCCCCGCGCCTCGCTCAGCCAGTGAGCGGGAACAGGTCTGTATGTGGGATCCGAACCCTCGGCGGGAGCGCCGCCACGCTTCCCAAGCAGCGCACTGTAGCAGTGCGCCACCGGGCCGGCCCCAGGAAGACACAGTTAATGACACAATCATATTAAGTTTCTCTGCTTTTAAATTTTAAATATTTAAGTCTGCCAATCTGCCAGGTTCCCAGTATTTTCTCTCTTCCAGGCCAAACCCCCTCTGCTCTTTCAACTATTTCTTATTATATAAAAAGATTGCAAGTTCATCATCATCCTAGGTCTCTCTTTGCCTGAACCTTTTAATGTCAGATATCCAGTCAATACAGAACATAATATACCAAGAGTAGTCATCTAAGAGATCTGGTTGTAGGATTTTTGTTTTATTTTGTTTGTTTCAAACATAGGTACAGGGAAATGAGTGACTCCTGCATTTCAGTTTATAATACCTCTACGGAATTAACCCATTCTCCTCTGAATTCTGGGATCACTCCCACCTCCCACCTTTCAAGATATTCATCATCAGGCTGGCCTGTGGCTCACTCGGTAGAGTGCGGTGCTGATAACACCAAGGCCACGGGTTCGGATCCTATATAGGGATGGCCGGTTTGCTCACTGGCTGAGCGTGGTGCTAACAACACCAGGCCAAGGGTTGAGATCCCCTTACCGGTCATCCTTATATAGGAAAAAAAAAAAAGATATTCATCATCAAACAGCCTGTGATACCTTGTTTCTTTTTACGGGATCTCTCTATCCTTGCTTGATTCCTTCCCCCTGGCCTCTCCTTCTCCTTCCTTCCTGTCTCTCAGATCTGCACCTATTAATGCACACTGCAAGACAGAAGGTTAACTTTTGAGGTCAGATTCTTTCCTCATGCCACATACACTAGTGATGAGATACATCCACCAGCTCAGAGGCCAAAGACCCAATACTTAACTCAGGGAAGCAAAGACTTTTCAGAATCTGAGTTTTTTTTTTTTTTTTTTAAATACTTATTTAGAGAGAGAACAAATAAATAGACTTTTTCACCACAACATTAGAAACTATCACTCTCCATTATAACTCTGGGGTAGATTACAGGAGAAACAGAATCCAAGGGACAGAAAGGAGAGTGTTTTATGAATATACAAAGGTTTGCAGCTATTTTGCTTTGCAGTCATCTTGTAGGCCAATAGCTCATCATCTGCTTTAGTAACAAAGGAGTCTGGGCTATTTCTGGAATGACCAAACACCCTCTGCCAAGCTCAGCACGCTGAGATTAATTTAATCTGCTTCCCGCTCTCCCAGACTGCTTTGCAGCTTGCTTGGGGGAAAGCAACTTAATAGTGAAACTTGCAGAAACCTGCTCTGCTGGCTCTGAGGCCAGATAAAAGAGACAAAGAAATACTCTATCTTTGGAATTTAGTTCCTTAGTGAATTCTCTTGACCAGTCCCAAGGCTGTAAGTGCTGCTGGGGATTCCGACAGGTTTCAAGTGCCTTTAAATGGTTAGGCACCTGAAACTGAAAGGTGGAGACAGGATACCAGAGTAGGAGAGGCTGGGGGAGGGAAGTAAAGCCAAGCTTCAGTGGGGGCAGGCTTGGGGGTGGGTAGGTATTCAGGTCAGAAGGAACATAACAGTATGTCCTGGGGACTCTTAGATAGTATAAGTCTCAACCTCTAGGTTGCTTCTTGATTCTGGTCTCACTCACAGGCTCTGGCAGAAACAGTCCATATAGGAGTGGTATAAAATAGGAAGGACCACCCAGTGGCCCTTCTCTGTGCTCCAGTTTGTGAAATCATCTGCTTTGGGGTTGGTCACCTCTGCTAAGCAGAGCAGATTTGTCTAGTCAGGGCGCAATGACTCTGCCACCTCTGTATCTTCAGGAACTAATACAATATCCAAGATATGACAGATGCTTAATGTTTGTTAAACTGGAATGCATGGAACCCATGGTCTGTCTTCATTGTCCACATAAAGAGCACAGGCCTTCCCAGTACCAAAACAAGCAACTTGGCACCAGCTGAGGTGTACAAATTACATTCTGAAGCAGCAAGGCTGGAGCCTGCCTACAAGAGCGGCGTTTCTGGGTACCTGGCTATAAAGAAGAAGAAGAGCTATTCTTTGGCCAACTTCTTCCTGTTATAGTAGGGATTTCCTTATCAGAAGGGAGGTACGGCATTAAGTGTGCCCCCAAAGGCTGGAATTGAGTGTCCACATCCAGAACTATCAATTCCCTGTCCCTTTTGAAACATTTATTCCAGATCCGGGCACTTGGCTAGGCAAGATGACCTCTAGAGGCAGAGGCAGGGAGGCGCCTAGAAAACTGGTCCTGCCCTCAGGATCAGCTGGTAGGAGTGCAGAGAGGCTGAGCTCTCCAGCCTGCTGCAGACACAGGTCAGGCTGCTCCCAGCTATGCAAAATCTGGCCACTTTAGAACCAGTTGTGATGTTCTCCATATGCATAGACAAGACAAAAATCATCAGTTATAATGGAATACGGTTCAGTACTAACCTTTGCGATGGGTATTTCAGAGCCTAGCACTCAATCTGTTTGACCCTAAAATAAGCCTTGAAGACCTGACTTTGGAGGAAACGCAGAAAAAGCAGGTCTTCTCTTTCCACCCCTCAGCTTGGCCAATGGCTGATTTCCACTTCTCCAGACATGAGAAGAAGGGAGCACTGTATTTTAATTAAAAAGATATCTAACTACCCTGGTTGGCTGCAGTTGGAGTAAGAGCTAATGAAGTAATATAATTTAAGGAATCAGAGTAGGTGATAACATGGATGTTTCCTTGCAGCACATTCTGCTCAACAAATGGCAAAACAAGGTCACCCATAAAACACAGAGCACTCTCTCCAGGCCCCTGGCACTAAAGTCATGCTTACTGTGTCTCAGCTTAGCAGGCCCAGCCATGTGGCAGGGTGGGTGACAGCAGGGTTCCTCAAGAACTGCTTGCTTTAGAGAGTGCCTGAGCAGAACACCTGCAAAGTGATCCCCAGTGAAACCATATCCAGGAGACAGACAGCAGCAGATGCAGATGGCACCTGGGCCCAGCAGTGGCGTGTACTACAGCACAGGAAGCTGAGAGCAGAATACCGAGTCCTTG